TACGTAGAGAATATATATATATATATATATATATATATATATATTCAAGTGCTTAATGATTCATTTTAACTGACCTTTTGCTTTTAAACATGTCAGGGTGTCCTCGATATCGAAGTAAAGATCATGCTGGACTAGGATCCTAAAAGAAAGCAGGGCACCATGACTCCTTTGCCAGATCATGTTACAATTCATGCCCCAAAGGAGGAAGAGGAGTTACACTCCAGAAGAATTTGAATGCTACAACCTTTACAAAAGGAATTAGGATTACATTTCTTCTTCATAAGCTTCTGGCATGTAACAAGAAAAAGTTCTTCTGATTTATGCGCTTGAACTAGTCGTAGATTAACATGAAGGAAGATTGGGAGTCCTTAGGCCCATATCTTAGTTTGTTCCAATCTTCTCATGAGTGTTATTTGTTCTTATCATTTGTTTTGAAAACCGACGTGGTTACTCCCACAAATTTTTATTGTTTTGTAGACTTGATATTAGTTTTTTGAATTCGTATGTAACTTCCAATGCTGGAATAGTAGACTCAGATTGGTTGTTTAAATTCATTCAAAATTCTGAATATGTAATTTATATGTAATTTGACTATTTTTTCGAGTCGTAAGATGAATGGTATGTTCTTCTATCTCAATTGTCTTGTATTTTTTAACGGTGGCTTATCAGGACTAGTTGTTGATACTATGATATTCATCTAATGAATTTAACATGATGCAGACGTTGTTCTCGCTCACTATTGAAATCCGATCATATCATATCAACAAGATTACTGTAGAGAAAGAGAATGCATTTCCTATCATGATATGTTTGTTTAATCTTTTGCATATCAGTTGAATTTTTTTAGCCATTGTCAATTGCTTCAAACCATGAATATTTTTATCGATTCAGTGATTAAAGGTTTGGTTTTCTATAGTATCAGGACACACCTGTGGTTTTTCTATAGTATCGATTCAGTGATTACAGGTTTTTATCGATGGATTGACTTGCAGTATTGTTATTTGTTTTTGTTGTTGTTGTTAAGGACTTCACTCGGAAACAAAAAGTTGGAACATGTTTCCAAAAGATGATTGGTCAAATTTTCTGCCTTGCCTCTGATACCAGTCGTCCAAACCAGCAAAGTCTGAGGTTGAGAAAACCTGTTGATATCATATGATCACTCTTTCTCTTTGAACTTGACGAAACAACATTGATACCATTTCTTATAGATGCCATCATATTAAGGAAACAACAAACAAAACATGAGATGAAAATTGAACTTTTTTTTGGCCAATATTTACAAGAACATAAAATTTTCTTTCCCTTCCATTGTTATGATATACATGAACAAACATCATTTTCCGTATAAGCTTTCATACAAGCAAGCTACGGATCCAACCACCAGGTCATAGTCGAATCAATAGGGGTGTCATCGGACTTCATGAGGGCTTCAATCCTTTGCAGGAAGTCGTCATTATCATCTATGATCTCCATCTGCTCAGACTCAACAATGTCGATCGATGATGACGACGAAGCCGCTGCGACCGTGGTTGAATCAGTGTTGGTGCCAAACATCACCGAGGCTGGAATCGTGTCATCGGACATCAACAAGGCATGGACCTGTTCCAGACTCGCGAAAAAGTCATCGTCGGTGCTGTACATCTGCTCACACGCAACCAAGTCTATCGACGACGATGAGGAGGAAACATCTGCGATCGTGGTCGAATCAATCCGAGTGTCATCGGGCATCGAGAGAAGATCGACAAGGCCTGGCGGTGAGGCCTTCGGGTTTGTAGTCGTGGCTGTGTCGGTGTCATCCGACATCAGCATGGCTTCAAGCTCTCTGGCGAAGAACGCATCGTCGGTGCATTTCTGCTCACCGCCAAGATCGACCGACGACGAAGACGAAGCCAAGAATGCTTCCAGTTCTTCTGTAGTTATCGGGAGCTCACCTCCACCAACGTCCGTTGATGAGGAGAGGCGGCTGCGACTCCGGCTTCGTTCGGTGTAACGGAGTCGACCGAGGAAAGATGAGTCTCCGTGGCTGTCACAACAGGAGCCAACGAGGAATGTTGGACCGCCGCGGTTGGATGTGGTGAGACGTCGGACTGCAATGCTCTGCTGGGATGTGCAACCAACTCCCAGCATGGCTTCTTTGAGAGAGTCGATGCTTTTGCCGAGAGAGTAGAAGATTCGTCTCTATTTCTCTTCCGCCCAACGAAGCTGTCGCCAGTGACCGTGTCTGTCGCGGCCTCCGTTAAGGTGGTCTCAACCGTTTTGATGGTGGTGCCGCCGGAGTAGGCACAATGCGAGCTTCTCTTGACGTGACAGAGAACTCGTCTCTCGAAGCCGTCGGACGAACACATCTCGAACTCGTACATCGTCCACCCGGAGTTCTTCCGACGGCCATCGTTGAAAGAAAGGCAGCTCTTTCGCCCGACCACCATCTCACGCCCGCCGACCATGGACTTGACGGGTTCTTGCTTTTTGTACAGAGTCCAAGAACCGTTGTCGGCCTTTCGATCGACGCGCGAACCGCCGCTGTTCTTGGGCTTGCGCTCCGCAAAGAAATAGCCCTCCTGCCGATCGTTGCCGAGAAGATTCCACGGCTCGGTGCCGTAGACGTTCGCGAAGGCGACAACGCGGCCAGGGAGGGGTGCGTCGGCGACCCAGTTGGCGAGGTTGTCAACCAAGATTTCCACCGCCGTGGGAAGGAACCGTAGCCGCTCGGTACGAGGTCGATGGGCTCCATTGATGGACGACTAAAGACAGTTTCTTGACTAGGAGAGGAGAGGAAATCAACGAGGAGGATGTTGGGCTGATAGCCCATATTCAGCCCATGTGGGCTAGGGCAGCCCACAACCCACACCCCCTCTTAACCTAACCCTAATTAAGATTATGGGGTGTGGTGGCTGCGTTTTAGAAGCAGAAAAAGGCTAAAAAAACGCAGCAACGAGGCAGATCTTGATAGCCACAGGATTCCAAAGAGAAGAAGGAGAACAAGGCAGAAAAGGAAGAGAAAGAAAGGGAAGAAGACAAGGACAACGCAGAGAGACTGTTCTCAATCATCTAGCAGTGTTCTCATCTCAGGTTAGATCAAATCTACAGTAGACTCTTGCTGTGATTACTTGGGGAGGTTTTAGATATTGTGGGCAATGACATGATCCTTGTATCCCAGTTATTCTCTTGTGGTTGTTGCTAGGGTTTAGGGCAAGAGATTGAGATTTGTATATTCATTATTCTCATAGTGGATTATCTCTAGTTTGCCCCATGGTTTTTACCCTTCACATTGAAGGGGTTTTCCACGTATATCTTGGTGTTCTGTTTGATTGTGTTTCCATTTTATTCCGCTGCGTATTATGGTCTTCTAGTATTTGTTCATATACAAAGGTTATTCCTCTTTATATCCCCATCAACTGGTATCAGAGCGGGTTTTGGTGATTTAATTTTTGTATTTGAACATGGAGGTCAGTAATATTTCTCGCATGATTAGTTTGAATGGAAATAATTGGATGATATGGAAACCAAGAATGGAAGATCTCTTGTATTGCAAAGATTTGTATGGACCTTTGTAGGGGGATAGTGCAAAACCTACAACTATGACAGATGATGAGTGGAAGAGGTTAGATCGAAAAACAATTGGGTTTATTAGACAGTGGCTTGATGATAGTGTCTTTCACCATGTTTCTACTGAAATTTCTGCATATTCTCTTTGGAAAAAATTGGAAAGTCTCTATGAAAGAAAAACAGCTGGCAACAAAGTTTTTTTGATCAGAAAACTTGTGAACCTAAAATATAGAGGGGGTGCTTCTATTGCTGAGCATTTGAATGAAATGCAGAGTATTACTAACCAGTTATCCTCTATGAAAATGTCTCTTGATAATCAGTTCTTCTACTTTTGTACCTATTGGTAGATCTCATGCGCTCCTAATCTAGTTTTGGTTCTTGTAAGTAATACAATTTCTGATGTACTCTACGAGAACTCTAATAACATTTATTGGTCCAATTCGAAGTTGCATAACTATATGCATAAGAGAAACTCGAATTTAGATTCTTTTCATTAATTTATATTTCATTGGGATCATAATTATAGTTGGAGCATATTTGCAAGAGCATCCATCATCATTCAATTTTAAACTTTGGTATCCAATGAAAAATAGAGACATAATTTTATTTTTGTTATATTTATTGGTATCTTAATTTTTTTAGATACGACGAGGCTTAAACTCTTCAAATGTTTGTGAATAATTGCTACAATGAGCAAGAAAAACCATAACGCCTGAAATTAGAGGCCCTAAAGTAATAAATATAATTGCTAGAATCTGCTATCAATTTCCGTAAGTCGATGTTCATGTTATGTGTGCATGTGTGCACACATGTTATGTGTGCACACAATTTCCGTAAGGCTGCTGATATCATCTTAATGCCATCCTTTTGGAATCATGTAGTTTATATATTAAAGGTAATGGGCCCTCTTGTTTGAGTCCTTCGGTTGGTGGATAATGAAAATAAGCCTGCAATGAGATATATTTATGAGGCTATGGATAGAGCAAAGGAGACGATTAAAATATCTTTTAATGAAAATAAAGAAAAATATGAGAAAATTTTTACAATCATTGACGAAAGATGGAATTGTCAACTTCATCGTCCCTTACATGCAGCAGGATATTATTTGAACCCTGAATTCTTTTATAAGATTAAATCTGTTGGATTTGATGCAGAAGTTTTGGGTGGGTTATATCAGTGTGTTACAAGATTAGTTCCCAGTATTGAGGTTCAAGATAAGATTATTCATGAATTATCTTTATATAAAAATGCTGAAGGTCTTTTTGGAATTCTAATTGTCGTTCGATCCAGGACAACTACCTCTCCAGGTATTAATAATTTGATATAATTAATTTCATATATATTATGTTACTATGTTATTGCTAATAATAACATAAATTTTACAGCTGAATGGTGGAGTCTATTTGGAAATTCCACCCCGAACTTACAGAAATTTGCTGTCAAAGTACTTAGTTTGACATGTAGTGCTTCGGGTTGTGAGCGAAACTGGAGTGTCTTTGAGCATGTAAGTATTACTAAATATTTTTATTTTAAT